ATGCCTGAGATGAGGAGAGATGGCCTATTGTTTGCATGTTCTAAGTGCTTTGGCCTTTTATCTGCAATGAACAATGGATGTTAAAAAGCTGCCTAAATTTATTTCCATATCAGCCCAGTTCCTTTCAGAACGGATCTTGGGTTGTATTGCTCTTTGTTACTAACTAGCTTGTGCCCTCTCCGCCCCAAGTGGGTGAGGGATAATTCCATTAGGACGGGGGTCGGCAAACCTTCCGAAGCGGCATGCCAAGATTTAACCCTCCTGCCCTGGGCCACGCTGCTCTCCTGGGGGAGAGGGGCTCTTTCCACCACACGCCCCACTTGGTCTCCTGCCCTGGTTTGATTTAAATTATTAAATAGATTAAGCATTTAAACTTTCTTATGTTAATTTATCAAACTTCATTTAAAATAAAGTAAAATATTAATTCATATCCAACACAAGAGGTTTCATTGTTTTCTTTATTTATGGCAGCGGTGGGGAACTATCAGTTCGGGACCACACAAGTGAGAAGCAAAAAATCTACTCACCAAATGTCCAACTCTCTGAGCCTGACCCCATCACAACCCAGTCCCTAATTCCCACACTACCTCCTCACCCTGACTCCCCCCCCAGCCCCCATTCCTCCACTCCATTGCTTCCTTCTCATCTCGTCCCACCTCATCACCCCCCAGTCCTCAACACCCCAGATCCACCCTGCCCATCTCCTGTGGTGGTGGCTGCTCGGGGACCGTCCCAGCCAGGCCCCGGGAGCAAAGCAGCCAGTTCCCGCCCATCCTTCCTGCGGGTCTCCCACTTGCCGGTGAGGCCAGGGTGGGCAGGGAAGCAGCGGCACACATGCAGGGACAGGGCTATCCTGGCTCTGCAAGAGGTCCCTGTGCCTCCTGGTGGAGGCAGGTGGGAATCCGGGATGGCTCTCAGGGACAGATGCGAGTCAGGGCTTTCTTCACTTCCCCCCCTCCTGTGTACCCAGAAGCCGCAGCTTGTGCTCCAAGCCTCGCAGCTGCACCGGCTTGAGGGAGGGGGCTGAGCTCCTGCCGCCGATTCCGCACGCCACTGAAAATTTACTCGCGTGCTTTAGGTTGCCGACCTCTGAACTGGAGCGTAAGCCACGTCAGCTGCATCTTTGAGAGACCTATCCCCCCTTAGAGATATGTGAGGTAGCTACTAGCAGCTGTTGGTATCTCTTCATGAGAAGTTGCTCTCTGGTCTAGTCCACATCTGAGGATACATGCTGTCACTCCTGCATCCTCACACTCAGCCCCTGTGTGACTACTGATAATCTACGAGGTGTGGAATACACAGAGACCGTCACTCAGCAAAATGAAGGTTATTTACCTGTACCTAAAGAAACTAGAGATTTTTTTGAGATGGGTAGTCCCTATCTGGATTCCGAAACCTGCCTCCCATGCCCTGTGCGGCATTTTGTTTTGGCTGCAGTAATAAGGGGAAACTGGAGAGACATCTGCGCATGCCACTAGTTTGGAGCATGGGGAGAGCAACAGCTTATAGGCAGGCCAATAAATGATGCTTGGGAAAAATTCCAGGTGCAAGTGCATGGTCTGCATGGGGTACACATTGGCTATATGTAGAGACTGCACATCTCTAGGAAATTCCTGTTAACAGGCAAGCAACCTCCATTTATTCAGCTTCTGTTAACTCTCCAGTGTGGACCCTCCCACAACCGCACTCTCTCTACTTTTTTATACATGTTATTAACTAGCATTCTGAATTAGCAAGTGAACTAAGAGACAGTTTCAGGCAGTCTGCCTTTTATGCCCTCGGGTGAGGAGGGGGCAAGCACATAATTGCCCTTAGCAGATGCTGCTATTCAAAGATTTTGATCTTATAGGGTATACACTTAAGAGGTGGGATCCACACAGACCAAACTTCTCAAAGAATCAGTAACTGTAAGGTAACAGTTTTTCTTATGTTTTTTGCTATTATGCTAGTCAATATTGTATTGTCAGGGTGCATCTATACAGCATTGTCAAGGTGCATCTACACAGCAGCGCTAGCTTGAAATAAGCTATGCAGTTTGAGCTACAGCTGCGCAAATTGCATAGTTTATTTCGAGATGGTCTATTTTGAAATTTAATTTTGAAATAGACCACTATTCTGACAAGTCCGTTAATCCATATGGAATGAGGTTTACCGGGACATTGGAATAGCAAGCCTGTTATTTCAATTACATTTGAAAATAATGGACATGCTGTTAAGACACGGAAAATGCTATTTCAGGATACGGGGCGTATCCCAAAATAGCGCTGCTATCTAGATATACCCTCATGGATTTATTGTGGTGTTGTCTAGAACAAAATATTTTCTTAAAGATGTGATAATCCCATTGCACGTTCACTTTTTGTTCTGAAAAGACAAATGTTTCAAGGCATGTTTAGAAAAGCAAAAAAAATAAGTAATAATTTTTCAAAAGTTGAGCTGAACAAATGTTGTTTGTATTTTTTTTCTCTCTTCCAGGTTTGAGTGGCCGTTTCTTTGTCACAACACTTCCTACCATTTACCAGTAAGTCTGTATCATACAGAAATCAAAGCTGTCAGTTTCCATACAGATGAAGCATCATGCAGAGACTGTGAACAGATGCAAATTAAAATGATTCCTTACATACGGTTGTTGATAGCCACCACCTGTTGAACATAATTCTGGCATAGTGTGTGTTATATAACACAATTCTCCTCACCTTCTCCAGAGTATTAGCTACTGGAGTGGCTGAGAACAAGACTTGTAATCATTTTCCTCTCTGTTAAGGCTGTTGAAGGGTGTGGGATGAGGTGGCTATAGCTATAAATAGTCCTTTGTCTTTCTATTTTGGGTTTTTATTCATGGGATAGCACCCAGAACACTGGCTAGCAAGCTATAGTATTTTTTATGAAGAAATAAATTTTAGAGCTTAAAATATCTTTGAAAAAAAATTTTTTTGTTCCAAGACAAAATAGCTTTGCTCTTCATATGTAATTTAGATTAATTCAATTTAAATCAGTTTTCTTAGTCTAAAGATAATTTTAATTGCATTTTCTCCGGCTAATACTATAGTTTAAACTTGTTTGAAGATTTTCCTCTATTCTCACTCGCTTGTCATTTTCTTAGAATTTTTAGTTTTAAATTGAGATTTACAGTAACCTTGTCATCCCAAAGTGAGAATTTTCTTGGAAAAATTTATATAATCATGAAGTCTGGAGGGAGTTATTTGAGCAGGATAAACAGGGGTGTTAATATAACAATAAGTTTGCAAATTTAAACACATCAGGAAAGTGAAGTATAAGTTTTCATCTTAACAAAAACTTGCTCACCCTGCATACATATAGTACTGGATTTTTTATTACTAGATTATTTTTAAATGTGTTGACCTTAAAATAACTCTCTATGTGTGTGCACAAGAACAACCAACAGGAATTTGAGGTCCCAGGGAAAAAAATCACTGGGCTCCCTGTCCCCTTTCCTCAAACCAGGTACCTGAGCAATTGCCTTCTTTGCTTCCCCCGCCCCTTGTCAGTGGGCCTGTGTGCGCATATTCTGTGTGTGTTTGTATTACAAATTCTGCTTCTAACTTTGATCTTAAAGTGGTATAATTGAAAACAGAATGGGGGTATGAATGGATAAAGAGAACTCTCTAAATCTCTGATATGTAATTCAAGCTGTTGGCTTACATTTTAGTCTGTGATAACACAGGTTACTTCCTCGCCTGAGGTTTTGTTTCCAAGAGGAATAGTATCTGTAAATGTCCTTCTTTATGTATAACATAATTAAAAACCTTTATGGGAGGAACTGTAAGGTGTTCACTCCCTCATCATAGAATTGTAGAGCTGGAAGAGACCTCAGGAGGGCATCAAGTCCAGCCACCTGCCCAAGGCAGGACCAATCCCAACTAAATCAACCCAGCCAAGGCTTTGTCAAGCTGAGACTTAAACACCTCTAGGGATGGAGATTCCACCACCTCCCTAGGTAACCCATTCTAGTGCTTCATCACCCTCCTAGTGAAATATTTTTTCCTAATATCCAATCTAGACCTCCCCCGCTGTAACTTGAGACCATTGCTCCTTGTTCTGCCATCCGTCACTACTGTGAACAACCTTTCTCCATCCTTCTGCCCCATTATGTTGTAAGAATCCTTCAGATAAATACGTGTAAATAGTATGTGACACAGTTAGATCTATTACAGTAAACTCATTTTAAAAAAATTAAAAAGCTAATGGCTATTTCAGAGAAGTCTGAGGAAGTCAGCTGCCTGATTCCATGGCATTTGAATGAGATTTGGGATCCCAACTTAGTTAGGTTTCTCAGAAAATCGCTGCCATCAAGGTGTGTATATATGGGTATATTTCTTTGAAAATATGTTTTATCTCTGTGGATTGTTTAGTTTTTAAGAATTTATGAAATTAAGCATTCATAATGTTTGGAACCACAGTGTACCATAGTGGGTCTCTTTGTTGGAGTGCAGGTCGAGTTTCATAAGCGGCACCAATACCTTATGATAGGTATTTGGCTGTAGAGGCATTTTTTTTACAATAGGGACAATATTTTAATTACCATGTATTTGTGCTCTGCAGTGCGAAGGATGGAGTATTTCGCAGATATCGTGGCTCAAGGACATTGGAGGACCTTCGAGGCTATATCCTGGAGAGAAAATGGGAAGTTGTGGAGCCCGTACCTGGATGGAAATCCCCATCATCTATAATGTAACTACCGTATCATTTTTGTCTGAAAAGCAGCTGTTTTTTGATGTCACTAATAAAAGGTGCTAAACTGATGTCCTTGTCCATTGGACAATCAGAGTATAGGCATTGGTGTCTAAGCTTCTTCAAGCTACTCTGCTATTGTGTCTCAGCCCTGACCCTTTGATATATGAGTAATTTATTTTCCATGCCTATTCAGTCTTGCCATCTTTAAGATTTGTACATTTTATATAAATAAAGCTGTTTGAAAGTGAAAAACATAGTTGTTCAGCGTTACTAACAGGAATAGCAGTTTTATGGCCACTGGGCACTGGAAAAAAAGAGCTTTGTTACGCAGGTCTGCAATATAATGACTTCTGGTGACACAAGCCTTTTTGACTCCCTAAAATCCCTATAGTGAAGTGCCTAGCAAGGACATCAAAGTGCCGTTTTCCTTTCTTTGTTGCTGAATGATAGGAGATAAAACGTAGTGCTAGCGTAAGGTATTTTCCTGTGACCTTCTGAATTTGCCTCGGCTTTGTCTTAAGTGCAAACCACGCTTTTATGGTTAGAAGTGATGATGAAACAGTGAATCAAAGATTTGTGTTGGACTCCTTTTTTACCATATTATAAAAGAGTCTGTTAGTTGTCGTGAATGAAATTCACATGAGCTGTAGAGAGCTCCAGCATAAGCCTTTTGCACTACTTAAGAACTGGGAAAGCTGTAGGAATTCTACTAGTGCAAGGGAGCCTCTTGTGCTCCAAATAGGCTAGTGTATTTTTGTGGCTGAGTCATAGGATCCCTGACTGTCCTGTTTGGGAGTTACCAAAAGGTAGTAGTATCTGTTTTGGCCTGTTGAATGAAGTAGTGGCTGTGGACAGCTTTGTCTGTTGGAATTTCTTCTCCCAAGCTTCTCCTTAAGCCAAGCCAAGCTTTACAAAGGGCTTTAACTCAGACTAAGTGCAAGAGGAGTGAATTTCACTCTACGTTCATTAATATGCAATAAAAATTTCTGTTTGAAGATATGAATGGCTAGATATGATGAACGATGGAAATTTTGCATCTGTCTCCTGCCAGTTTTCAATTTGTACAGTGCATCATGAATCTAACTCTGAATTTTATCTGAAGCGTGTCCCTTTCTTTCTTAGGATGCATGGAATGGCAGGTCTTTTTCATTTGTCTGGATGGATCAGGGTAAGTAACACTAACCACCAGGGTGGATTTGATTTGGTTATTTCATTTACCAAAGGTATATGAAGCAGATATTTATGAAGTCCTGTTATGCTTATAAGAAGCACATGGGGTTTTTATTGGTGGAAAAGGTGCAATACGCCGTATTTATTGAGAATATAATTGCAAAGCAGTTAGCATAGGCTTACATAGACTCACAGACATACACTCTCTCTCCCTCTCCTGCCACTGATGATATAGTTACCAGTTTGTTGCTCTCATTAGTCTGATAGCCAAGTAGGCTAAGTGTGAGGTTCATTTCGGCCCTGGCTGACATTCCAGTCGGATAATGGTAGGACGAACATGACCTGTTACAGGAAAGCAGTCCTTCTTTTATAGTGGTTCTTTTCCATCAGGATCAGTGGGTTTGCATCGCCATACTGGGTTTTTTTTGGCAGATGTTTATCTCCAGTTGTTCCTTTAGCTCCTTATTTTCTTTGTTTTGCCATGCTAAGCTAGTTTTTATCACAAATATTTTGTTCCAGTTGATACATGCTTGCCCTTTCCCTCGGGCTGTGTCTAGACCACATCCCTCTTTCAACAGAGGGATGTAAATTAGACATGTCGAAATTGCAAATGAAGCAGGGATTAAATATCCCACACTTCGTTTCCATAATCATGTCATGGCGTTCTTTTGAAAAAGCGCCATTACGAAAGTAAAACCGCGGTCTAGCCTCAGTTTTTCGAAAACGGCAGGCTTTTTCCAAAGATCCTGTAAACCTCATTTTTTGAGGAGTCACTTCAGCAGTCTCTGAATCCAAGCAGTTTAAGTGACTTCCACCAGTTCATTGGTGTGATTTTCTTTAAAACATTATCAACAAACATATATTTATTGAATAGTTCACCCTTAGCTCTGAAGTTTATTATAGTTGGCATTATGGATGGATGATTGTGGATTTGTATGTCATAGCTGTCTCCTCTTTTTCAGCAGTTAAAGTTTGACCCTGGTACCGAGTATTGAGAATATTTGAAAAAAAATGAACTGGAGATAGTGCTTGTCCCATTTGTTGTTTTAATGTTTGTAATTTAACTCTGTCATTGCATAGTTCTTTTTTTTAAAGAAAAGTTCCTTCCAAATTTCAACAGCATCAGCAATAAAATAGCTATTTCCCTGCCTTTTGTTGATCAAGGCTACAGAAATAGGCTTCACGGTACCCGGCATGTGTTCAACATTTCTCTTACGCCCAGTGTTAATAAGTTTGGTTTTGACAGTGCTATCTGTTTTTTCACAATTTTGTTTACAAACTGTCATCAGGTTAGGCCAGTTCTTGTGCTCAAAACAGTCCACTACAGAAGTCCATCGCACATCTTGTGGGAGAGTTAACTTGGTTTCTCCCACTTTTTTTCAGAGCAACTGCTGCACAGTGATTGTTACAATTTCAGTGTTTGCAATTTCATCAACATTAGTCTTTATTTCTGGAATACTAAAGTCCTGGGCTAAAAGGTGCATCAAATGAGCATTGCAATCCTATGTTGTTAGCTTGGGATTCTCTGCACTCTCTTCTAAAATTTCTTCTCTTCAAGGATACATTCGCAGCATGGTCTGTGACCAAGCGGGTTACTAGACATTTGAATATTTTTTTCACAGTTTGTTATAGCTCTTTTGGTTACTACTTGTAAGTATTTTGCTGTGTGTGCATTTCCCGATGTATCAGTTGTTTCTGCAAGGAACAAGTTCCTTTCTTCTGTTATCACACGAGCACATACAACAGGATCATTGTGGACATTGCTCCTCCCATATAAACTCATGTTAACAATTCTAGACTTTTTACAAACTGCTCAGTTTCTCCTTCATATACTTTAGCCAGAAATTTGCCTGGAATATCTGTTTGCCTGGAATTTGCTCTGTTGGGTGGACTATATCGTGGTCTTAATGACTGAACCACATTAATGAAAGCTTCAGAGGGGTAGCTGAGTTAGTCTGTAACGGGAAAAACTTAAACAACAAGAAATAGTGTAGTAGCACTTTAAAGACTAACAAAACATATAGATGGTATCATGAGCTTTCATGGGTACAACCCACTTCTGCACTCCAATCATGTGAAGAAGTGGGTTGTGCCCACGAAAGCTCATGATATCGACATGTTTTGTTAGTCTTTAAAGTGCTATTACACTATTTGTTTTTTAAGTTTTTCATGTTGCTGAAGTGTGGGTTCTCAATAATAGAGAAAGGAGAATTTGATGCATAAACAAACTGGGCAATTTTTTCATCAATAACCAGCAGATTACAAAAAGAGGTACATATCACAAACGTATCTATGGTTGTTTCTGGATGATAGAGATTTTTTTTTCTTTTTGCTGCAAGCGATATACTGTGGCTATGCGACATACACCATGTGACTGAAACACTGTCATTGGCAGATAACTCTGAAATTTTAGGCAATGATGGTGATCTTGAAGATGGATCGTCTTCAGAATCCTGTATGTTGAGGATGGATTCTCCTAAAGAAAATAAGTCAGTGCAGTTATTTAATTATTACCATACTGCTCATTTAGTAATATTAATTGCATTCACTGACCCTCAGTACTACTTTAAAGGTGAAATTGTAAAAGGAAGGTCTGCCTATTTCAGCTGTGTATTTTTTTAATACAACTGCGTCAAAAATGATAGTACCATAGAGTAACAACTATTTTTTGCTCAAACATGAGAATTCAAGAATAGGCCAGAAGGAAGACAGGCAGTCCTTAAGAAAGAATTATGAAATAAAAAAGTTTAGCAACCTGAAGATCCTCCATGTCCAGACATGCTCTTTTCATCATCTTCAACACAGCTTCCTCCTGAGAAGGTACACTTCTCACGAAGTTATTTCATTCGGGCAACTAGGCCTTGCATTTCTTTGTTGCACTACTTGCATTTTGCATACATGCCCGTCTTACCCACAAGTAGAGGAACTTCATTAAAATACTCCCAAACTGGGTCTTTTATACACCCTGCTGCCATTATAGGTTTTCTCTTCTAGTGAGAGAATGGTATAGTAGCGCTCAAATCAATGAAAAGCTACTCAGAAAGATCTTAAGACTTCTGGAATATGCTGCTCAAACGGTTTCAATTTTGTTTCTACTGTCTGTCCCTCCCTTATCACATTTAATTCCAAATTTCTTCTCCTTTACCAGATCTATTCCGTCCCCAACAATCTTCTATTTATTGAACTTTTTAAAACTTTGCACTTTTACAGAGAGTCAAGGGATTGACTGTACACAGTTTTTCAGAGGGACAACAGGGTTGAGCTCTGTTATTTCTCATCTCTCTTTATTATTTACTTAGTTAAACACATTTTTGCTGTTAGCAAGAATGTTAGCTCAGGAGACATTAATCCATAGTTTGGGAACTGTAAAACTAAGCATCTCTGATGGAATCTTCTAGACTGAGCACTGAGTCCCATTGGGTAGATAGAAAGATTAACCTAAATAATCTATACAGAAGCCTCTGGAACCCCATAAAATTGGGTCCCTAATATATGAATTATTGGAACTCGTTTACAAAACTTTTCCTAAATATTACATGAATATATTGTCTCATAATATAGAATTTGAATTTATAGTCCCTATTCCATGATGAGATATCTTTGAGCTATACTGTATCTTAAACTATCTTTAGATAGGTTTTTTTCCTCAAAAAGCATGTTATGAACAAAATCTGATTTAAAAAATTTTTTAATATCAATGATTTTTATCCACCCTGCTAACCACTGTTACATAATTCTCCAGTTTAGCATTTAAGATTTAGCAAAAAGTATGTCAGACAAGGTTTAAATGAATATTTGACCATCTTTTACATAACTTACATTTTTCTTATTGTGGCTGACTTTGCTCTCAAAGTATTTCTGTGTCCTTGTAACTGAAGGCAGAAATCATGTCCAGCTAATGAATTGTTTGCAAAAGTGACATTTTAAGGTTATAGATAAGATTATGATCTGTGCCAAAGGTTGCTCTCTGTTGAGTGTTATCTTAGTATTCATTAGGAGTTCTAATAAAATAAGCCAACCTAAAATTAATCCAGTACTGATAATGGGAGTTATTATAGTCCATTTATTACCGTATTGGGGAATATACTTTGCATTCACAATGGAGTTAGGCTGCCTTCACATTCTGTAGTTCCTTCTCTTCTTAATGTTTATATTTTAGGAGTGGATCTGTGAGATTCAGTGACCTGCAGTGTTCAGGGAGATCAGACTGGATTATCATAATAGTCCTTTCCAACCTTAAAGTCTGAGTCTATGAGACTGCTTTGTCTTTTGTTGGCCCTTTGCCCACTGGCTAGAAAGAATTATTTTATGCATGATCTTACTTCAGCGTCATATCTTTCTCTAACCATACAAAGCTGAGAGTATCACTTCCATATAACTATGAGAGAAGACCCTTATTGAAATTTAGACTATCATGTCTTTTTTTAATTGTAATTTATAGCCGTTTTTAAAACTGCTTATATGGACATGTTTAATGACTAAACCATTTCACATCCTCTGGCTGTCCCATACTGTGTTTTCATCAATTCTGTAATTCTGTTTTGAAAATAAGGTGCTCAGAAGTAAGCACAACATTCTAAATGTGGCCTCGGTAATTTTTATGTGGCTAGATTAATTCCCTTTTGTTTGTCACAATAAGCAGTTAGATATTCCAGAATTGTACAGGCTTTTGTAAGGGTTTCACTCATTCTGTGAAGGATATCCTATTGATCCTTCAGTTAGTCAGTTGTATTTTTAGTATTTGACCTGTTGTGGATATAGTGGCCTTTTGCTTCTTTGTCCCTCAGTTCATTGCCTCCTGTTTGTTTATACTGATACACACCTTATTTATCTAGTGTGCCTACTCTGTCACATTCTGAGAAGGGATGCTTTTTCTTCCTTGGATTCACATCCTCATTAATATTTCAGAAGTACGTTCCATCAATCTACTTCATCTGCCTCTCTTATATTCTTTTATTTATACAGGTAAAAAACCTTGACAGAGCAAATAGAAATGAA